CTGCCTACCCTGAATGATAGACTGTGACATGGAAGTTTAAGCTGGTTTTGGTTAATATTTTATCATGGAAACAGGAAAACAAACTAGAACACCCAGTGGACTACTTGACATCTTTCAATACTCTCCCTGTGGTCACAACAAGAACTACATCTATGGAACTGTGACAGAATTCACAACAATGACTACAAAAAACTGAGATCCAACTACATGTAACAAAATTGATAAGATTTTCAAATAAGATACATGACATTTGACAGAATTTCATCTACAAATAGTTCAAAAACATTTAAAAACCATTGTTTAGTGGAATAAATAAAGCAATGCAGAAAACCCAAAATGTATTCAGATAGTGTTGGCTTCTATCTTTTGGGGGATCAGGGTGTAATTATCTGGAAGAACACCCAGGAGCTCTTCTTACAGTGTGTGTGTGTGTGTGTGTGTGTGTGTGTGTGTGTGTGTGTGTGTGTGTGTGTGTCTGTTCATCCAGTCCAGACAGGGTCTTTCATAGACCAGGCAGATTATAAGAGTGAACTCGTCTTCTACCTCTCAAGTGCTGGTAATAGAGGTTTATACCACCAAGCCTGTATTTTTGAGGGGTTTTTTGTTTTTTTTTTCCGGTCCTAGGATTGAACCCAGGGTTTCCGGAATGCTAAGCATCACTGGACCACCTGAAACACATCTCTAGCCCCAGCAATCCTATTTCTTGATCTGAGGAATGCATATTCCTGCCTTATTACTAATTATGAAGCTGATGCCTATGTGTAAAGCATTTATCATACAGATGTCACCCTTTGCAATTTTCAAAAGTTTAAAGCATTAAGGTCAGTGGATCACTTGGAGTCAGGAGTTGAGAGTGGCAAATGCACATGTTATGATATTGATAGTACATGGTTTGAAGTTTTTGTTCTACAACTGTGAGTTGTGTGAGTGTTTTGTGAGTGTGTGGTGCTGAGGAGTTGAACTCAGGGCCTCGAGTGTGCTAGGCAGGCACTCCGTTGCTAAGTCGACCGCTGAACTGTGATTCCTTAAATTTTTCTAAATTACATTTATTTCTTTGTTTATTCAGTAGTAAGTAGGGGATGTGTGCGACGGCACATGCATGGAGGTCAGAGGTCAGCTTGCTTGCAGGAGTCAATTTTCTCTTTCTACCATGTGGGTTCCAGGGATCCAACTTAGGTCTTCATGCTAGTCAGCAAGTGCCTTTACCTACCAAGCCATCTTGCCAGCTCAAAACTATATGTCTTTTGGCAAACTGTCTTACTGTCTGTGCCTTAGCATTTACTATATGTTAAACATTGTACAAATTATGGAGGGGACCAATACAACCAGGATGAAATATGAACATTGGCCGGGCATTGGTGGCACATGCCTTTAATCCCAGCACTTGGGAGGCAGAGGCAGGTGGATCTCTGTGAGTTCGAGGCTAGCCTGGTCTCCAGAGCGAGTGCCAGGATAGGCTCCAAAGCTACACAGAGAAAGCCTGTCTCAAAAAAGAAAGAAAGAAAGAAAGAAAGAAAGAAAGAAAGAAAGATGAACATTGCCTTTGTGAAATTTCAATTGGATAAGAGAGCAGTAATCATACAAAGTTAAAAACTGGAATTGTCATAAGTGCTATAAAAAGTATAGATCATATTAACAAGAACTTATCACAGATGATTTGATCTATTCAGGTAGATCAAGAAGGCTCCTTAGGACTGGAGAGATGGCTCAGGAGTTAAGAGCACTGGCTGTTCTTTCAGAGGACCCAGGTTTGAGTCCCAGCACCCACATGGCAGCTCACAACTGTCCATAACTCCAGTTCCAGGAGTCACGTTCTATTAGAGTATAATAAAGTACAGCAACTCTATTCTGGCCTCCATGGGCACTAGGCGTGCTCCTGGTGCACAAATATGTGTGTAGACAAACTATCCATAAAAATTAAAATAAAATAATGTTTTAAAAAAGAGGAAGGTTTCTCATGGCTGAGGACATAGCTCTGTGGAGGAGCATTTGCCCCATGTGTGCCAGACTCTGGGTTCAATCTCTGCCATCATTAGAGAAGTAGGAGAAAGAGAAGAGAGGGGATACAAAAAAAAGCTGGTCTAGGACATGACCACCACCAACAAAACAGAAACCAGGACTGAAATCTGAGCTATGGAAATAAGTTTTGTTGTTCTTGGAGGGGAGTTGCTACACAGGAAGTCTACACATAGTATATATGCCGTTTGATTGTTACCTCCAAGGCAGCTAGCAGCAGCTTTGTGAGACAGAATTAGTTCTGAGATCTCAGAAACAGCAAGTCCTGAGAAAATATCAAGAGCCTAAAGCCAACTTTGGGCAGTAGTCAAGTGGAAAACCTCCCATTTGATGGCAGTATTTCCCTGGGCCAAGCTGGCCCACTTCCCAATACCTCTCCTCCCAAAGCTATTTTTCTGGTGTCTCAGTTGAACCTATAGGTGGGGCTGAGTGTGAAACTCTTGTTTTTCCACTGGAGGACATGAGTCAGTGAACAGTGAGGTTCCACTTAATCACCACCCCAAAACAAGGTTCTTAAGAATCAGGAGTAAGAAGAACAAGGGAATGATTAATATAAAGCCAGGACAGTGATTTACTCTTGGGTGGGGTGGGGTGGGTGGAGAACCCTGCTGGGAAAGGGAGAGCTAGGGATCTTTTGGAGTTTGATGCTACTGTAGTTCTTCGTCTGAGTGGAGACTGCATTGGCAATGGTTCCTTTATCATTATATTCGCACGTTTTATGTAGTTTTCTAAATATGTATTATAGCTAAAAATTACAAGTAGCTAAAAAAAAACAAGCTGTAAAAAGTTCTTAAGCTGAGAAAAGTATAACCAGATTTATATCATTAAAAAATTACTTGGGCACTAAGCATGGTGGTGCACATCTTTAATCGCTGTGCTTGGACACAAAGGTAGGTGAATCTTTGAGTTTGATGCTAGTTTGGTCTATAGAATGTGTTCCAGGCCAGCTAGGGCTACTTTAGTGAGACCTTATCCAAGAAAATTAGCTGAAGGTGGGACAAGGCTAGAAGCAGAGAACATGGTCAGGAGGTGGCTACCACAATTTGGTGAGAGATTATAATGACCTCTACAAGGGTTAAAATATAGAGATACAGTCTTTTGTTTTGAAAAATACAATAAAAAAATAAGACAGAAGCTAACACTGCCACTCAGATCACTTTTTTCCCCTCTATATCTTCACAAATTGACTCAAGAACAACAGTCAAAATGCAACCACATATCTAAGCAGACATATGGAACTCTACCCTGTGGCAAACCTACTCTGAGGACTTGTGGCAGAAAGAATACATTTTTATGACATCATGACCATATGAAAGTTGAGTTGGCATAATACCTTAGCATCAAAGTTGAGCTGCTTATACACTAGCCTACGGTGATATCTAATCATGATACCCAGTCAGTGAAAACTTCATAGAGTGTTTTCTCATCTAATATCTGGTCCTAGAATGCTAGCTCTGGAAGGCAAAGACATTTTATTCACTACTATATCTTAGGGTGAAAAAACAAAGTTAGTATACAGTAAGTGCTCAATAAATATTAATGAATTATTTCTTTCTTTCTTTTTTTTTCTCAAGATATGGTCCCTCTAAGCTGGATGGGCTAACCTTGAACTCACAGTCCAACTGACCTCAGCCTTAAGTAGCTAGCACTCTAGGCACCTCCATAGTACCTTGTATTTAATTATCATAATTATTTGTGTCTAATCAACACAATAATCCAATGAGAGTAGATAAGACATATATTATATATTATTATCCTCATTTTGTAAGTTAGAAAACAAAGATTTTATTCATTTTTTGCAATTAAAAGTTGAAGGGCTAAGACTCAATATTCTTATAATTCTAAAACACCAACTAGAAGCATTTCAAAGCATAACAGGCTGGAGTGGTGGCACACGCCTTTGATCCCAGAAACCAGGAGGCAGAGGCAGAAGGATCTCTGTGAGTTCAAGGCCAAGTCTGATCCACACAGCAAGTTCCAGGGCAGATAAGCTACACAGTGATACAAACAAAAACCAAGCAAAACAATAAAATCAAAACCATGACATGTCTGTCAGATCCCACACTCTCCAGTGTACCTGACATGGAGCCATATAGCCTGCCCAGCTTTTACTGCATTGACAACTACAGCTCCCCTACAAGGAGACCCATTGTCTTCTGGATAGTCAAGTCCACCTGCTCCCTGGCTACCTTGTTCCTGTGTCCCCTAGTTGTCTCTACTTCCCACTCTACCCAGTCCACTTCTTCTCCAAACAATAGAAGTTAAAGAAACCCAGTTAGGGCAAAAAAAAAAGGAAAATGCTGTTCTAAAAACTTGTCATTAGGCCGAGTGTTGGTGGCGCACGCCTTTAATCCCAGCACTCGGGAGGCAGAGGCAGGTGGATCTCTGTGAGTTCGAGGCCAGCCTGGTCTCCAGAGCAAGTGCCAGGATAGAAAAAGAAAGAAAGAAAGAAAGAAAAGAAAAGAAAAGAAAAGAAAAAAGAAAAAAACTTGTCAATAGAAAAGGGAAAATAGAATAAAGTGGCAAATGACAGTTTTGGTGTAATTCAAAAGCCTGTCATCCAAATGATATCCTATAGGGAGTCTAAAAATTCAACACTACACGAGGAGTTCCTCTTAGTCTCTTTCTTTTTGGTATCAATTAAAATGAGTAATTTGAAGCTTAAAACACAACTCAAATGCTTTCTCCAGATGCTCAAAAGGTATTAATATTCATACATCTGTATATACCTTCATAGGACTGATAAACTCAAAAAAACCCACAAACACAACAATAAAACCAGCATACCTGAAAAAAATGCTGAATACACAGATACAACAAAACTCACAGAAGTTATGTTTTTAGGTTGTCTCCCCACGCAACCCCTTGTAGTCCAAGCTCTGATGTTCAATTTGTCCCTACAGCAATTCAGTCTAGGCAGGTTAGACCACAGCAGACCGTTAAACAGTGCATCTAACTCCTCTTTCAAACATCCCAGAACTCACCAGAAATTCATTGGCAAACTCCTCATTATTAATTTTCTTTTTCTGGGCCTCATTCAGTAACCGCTGCAAAATTTCTCTTTGGTCCATGCCGCAGAGCAAAAGTCTGTGAGTGAATTAAGTGAGGGCATGTCAAATGTGTGTCATGGCCAAGACACCACCAAGAAGCCACTGCTGCTGCCTGAGCACAGCACGCTGGAGGCTGTGGTTTACTGACTGCATCACAAGCCCTAGAGGAAATTAGTACGAAACCAACTTCTGTGGTCACACAACAAAGCCATCATCTCCCTCCAGGGCCCTAGCGCCTTCCTTTCTCAACAAAGAAACCTGGCTACAGTTCAAATGTAGCGAACAAGAGGCTAACCAGAACATTAAACTGTGGTCTGCTTAGCTGGGGGACTCTGCCAGCTTTCCACAGTACTCACCTCACCTCTCTTGATGCTTCCCAGACAACAGACAGAAGTACAGCTCTAACATAAGGTGTGTTCAGCCTTTCCACATTCCCCAGGAGAGCAAAGGCCTGGGTGATGAGCACCTGCCGTCCCTCTACAGGGAAGGAGACAGACACTGGAGTTATCTATCTTCTACCTGGACTATTGTCGCCAAAGTCAGAGCAGGCATTTTACTTCAGAACTTGTCAACTGCTTCTGACAGGCAGGCAGTCTCTCTCACGGCTGGGGAAGTACTGGCCCCCCATAGAGGGAAGTGTTGATCTCTGTACCTCTTCAAACCTGCAGTAGCTTTGATCCTTATTTGGGTTCTGAATACAAACATGGAGAGCACTGTTCTATGGAGGAGAAGCACCTGGTAGACAGCACACTATCCTCAGAACGCACTGCTAGTAGACAGTGAAGGAATGAAAACTAAAATTTAATTTGTCGAGTGTAATACAGATTCTAGGTCAGAAAGTCTTGGGAGAAGTGAGTATAGCAGTGCAATCTGGGGTCCTCGCTACTCAGGAGTGTCACCCAACTGGAGGATCACTTGAGTCTGGGAGTTTGAGACACCTGGGCAACAAAATGAGACCTCTCCCTCAAAAACTGAAAGAGAGAGAGAGACACAGAGACAGAGAAAGAGAGAGACAGAGAAGAAAGGAAGAATGAAAGAGAGAGGGAGAGAGAAAGCCTAAAGAAGTGATTCTCATGAAGACATTTTGACATTTTTTGCCCTACAGCCACAGTCTTAGAAAACATCCCATTTCAGGAAGCCATCCCCTACTCATGGCATTTGTGCCTTGATAGGCAGGCTGCTCTAGAGAAAGCTTCCATGCCTCCGTTTGCATAAATTCTCTCTTCAATGGGTACAAATCCACCCAAGATCTAATTCACCCCAAGTGAATATATTATCTTTAAAGGAGGAAGTTCAACAAACAGCATGTTACAAATTAGTCTCAAGTCTGTAAACTGGGAAAGATGTAGTTCGGACTTCCTCAATTTAAGATATTAGCAATTCTTTCTGCTTTTGCATTATTCAAACCCCCTTCAGAAAAATCATGATTTTGAACACAAACATTCTACAATCTCTCAATTGAGCCCTTGGTAGGCTACTTGAAGTTAATATTCCAAATAAAGAATTTCAATTGTAGTTCACATAAAATAAATTAACCATTACTCTTGAGCAATATTTCCTAAGAATAAAACAATATCTCTCAGATTATCCTCACCTAGCATTAAAAGGAAATTTCTTGCCACTATAAATAATGTTATATTTAATTATTTCAAAACATACAAAATACGGGGAAAATTTATTTTTAAAAAGAACACAAAATTCTTCGGGGTATAGGGGTATATACTTGTAACACCAGCAGTCAGGAAGCTAAGACAGGAGAATTGCTACAAATTCCAGGACTGTCTAGACTACATACCAAGACCTTGTCTCAAAAATGAAAAAAAAAAAAACTTTTAAGATCCCAAGTTAACTGTAAATAAAATTACGTAAAAATACAAAATTTAAGCCAGACTCAGAAAGACAAGTATTATGTGGGTTTGTTTTTTTTTTCTCAAATGGAAATTTAGGTTTAATTGTGTGTGTGTGTGTGTGTGTGTGTGTGTGTGTGTGTGTGTGTAGAACATGAAAATAGAAAGATGACCATGAAAAGAGCAGAAGAGATCTTTTTAAACTGTGTTATTATCATATATTAGCCACTCAGAAATGGATTGCGTTGTGACATTTTCATATTATACTTAGTGTATTTTGATCACGTTCTCTGCCCATCCACACTGTTAACCCCTCTTGTCTCCCTCTCGCTCCTCACCCTTTTCTTCTCCCCAACTATCCTCCCCACTTCCACCTCCATGTCTTCTTTAGTTTTTTAATCCCAGTGAGTTTCATTGTTTACAGGAGCCTTGGTGGCTTGCCAGGGTCTGCACACTGACGGAAATGTCTCTCTCTTCCCCATCAACATCTTCAGGTTGGGGCCACATGTGACAGAGTATGCAAGTAATATAGTTGAAGAGCACAGCACCCAAGTCACACTCAGAAATCAGCATTTCACGCCTCCCCAACCCCCTCCCCATGGGGCTCCTAGATTCTCTTTCTGCCCCTTCTTTGGTGATGCGCCCTGAGTTTTGCAGTAGGGTGGTGAATGGTGGGTGGTGAATGGTGGTATGGCTGTCCCATTTATTTCTGAGCACTCAACAGTCATTTATTCTCAGCACTTTGACCTTTGTCTCCACAGCCACTGCTACCGCTGCAGAAAGAAAGTTCTCTGACCAAAACTGAAAGCATCACTAGTCTGTGGGCATAAAGTTATTTAGAAGGCAATTAGACAGATACCTCCCGTCCATTAGGCAAAACAGCATCATAGGCATCCTACAAGGGTCTATGACCTCCCCAACCAGAGCTTTAAAGCAGATTTACAGTACCACTCATATGGCGACAGCATCGAATCCAATCAGAAAGATGCTGGTTACCCACTTAACAGACATGCTGCTATTGCACCCGGGGACTCATATTGCTCGGCCAGTAGGTATCATTGCATAGTGTCCACAGCTAAATAGCAACACTGGTGACAATCTTCCCCCAGCAGCCTGCAGAGCACAGTTCAGTACTGTGAGGCTTAGCCAACAGGAAGGAAGCTTTTTAATACCAGCCTGATTTCAGTATGTCCTGCAACCCAAGTGTGTGGCACATTTGGTAACAAGGTCTTAGTTCTGGGAAACAAACAAACAAACAAACAAACAAACAAACAAAAAACAGCAGCAGTGGCGTGTGTGTGTGTGTGTGTGTGTGTGTGTGTGTGTGTGTGTGTGTGTGTGTGTGTGGCCTTCCTATCTAACAACTCATAGGGAGCCTATCTCTGGCATTGGAATTTTCATTTAATACCCTATGGCTTCTGGGGGCAGCCTTAAGCTTTATTCACCTAGGTAGTTATCTCTGTTCAAATATTTCATTTTATTATTTGATTTCCTTTATGGCTTTTTCATATATTGTTGGTTTTCAAAAATGTGGGGGTTTTTTGTTGTTGGGTTTTTTTTGTTGTTGTTGTTGTTTTTTGGTTTTTCAAGACAGGGTTTCTCTGTGTAGCTTTAGAGCCTATCCTGGCACTCGCTCTGGAGACCAGGCTGGGCCTCGAACTCAGAGATCTGCCTACCTCTAAAAATGTTTATTTTTGAAATATGGTGATGTATGCCTTTAATTCCAACACTTAGGAGACAGAGGCGGGCAGATATCTGTGAGTTTGAGGCCAGCCTAGTCTACATAGTAAGATTCTGTCTCAAAAAAAGAAAACAAATAATTAACTAAATAAGTAATTTTTCTTGTGTTAAAAATATTTTATTTAATTTTATGTATATGGATGTTTTGCCTGCATGTATATGTCTGTATGCATACCATATGCATGCCTGGTACCCAAAGAAGCCAGAGATGGCATTGGATCTCCTGGGACAAGAATTCAGATGGTGTGAGATGGATGTGGTGCAGGGAATTGAACCTGGGTCCTCTGGAAGAACAATCAATGCTCTTAGCTGCTGAGCCACCTCTCTAGAGCACACTCTGTCACTTTGGTTCTCTTCTCCTCTCTCTCCCCCGACTCCCTGTCCTTCCCAGTCCCTGCTTAAGCATTCCCACTCCCAATATTCTACTCCTTCCCACTCCCCAGAGACACCTTCCTCCCCTCTCAAGGCTCCTATCTAGTTTCCTGAACTCTACACACTCATTCTCACATAAATGATAGTTAAAAGCTGGGGTCTGCATATGAGAGAGAACATGTGATATTTGCTTTTTAAGTTTGAACTACCTCACTTAATACAATATTTACCAGTTCCATTTTTCCCTCAAATTTCACAATTTCATTTTTCTTTGCAATTGAATAAAACTCTATAGTGTAGTTGTAGTACATTTTCACTACCCACTCATTAGCTGATAGGCATCTAGGCTGGTTTCATTTCCTTGCTATTGTGAATACACCAGCATTAAAGATGTATGTACAAATTGCTGTGTGGCAGGATGCCCAGGAGCAGTATAGCTGGGCCATAAACTTCCACACTGGTTTCCACAATGACTGCACCAGTTTACATTCTAACCAACAATGGATAAGAGTTCCCCTCTCCACATTCTTGCCAGCCTTTGTTGTTTTCTTGATGAGAGACATTCTAACTGGTGTGAGATGGAACTACAAAGCAATTTTAATTTACATTTTCTTGATACCTAAGGATGTTGAACATGTTTAAAAACATTTCCTGGTCATGTGTATGTCTTCTGAGAACACTCTGTTCAGTTCCTTAGTCCACTTTTTGACTGGGTTATTGTTTCCTTGTTGTTTAGTGTTTTGGGTTCTTTGTATATTCTGGATATTGTGTCTTCCATCAGCTGTATGGCTGACAAAGATTTTCTCCCATCCTGTAGGCTGTCTCTTCACTCAATTAATGGTTTTCTATACTGTACAAAAGTTTTTAATATAGCCATCAGGGAAATGCAAATCAAAACAACTCTGAGATACCATCTTACTCCTGTCAGAATGGCTAAAATCAAAAACACCAATGACAATTTATGTGGGAGAGGATGCAGAGAAAGAGGAACACTCCTCCACTGCTGGTGGGAGTGCCAACTTGTACAGCCACTTTGGAAATCAGTATGGAGATTCCTCAGGAAAATGGGAATTAGTCTACCACAAGATCCAGCAATTCCACTCTTAGGCAAATGCCCAAAAGAAGCACATTCATACAACAAGAACATCTGTACAATGATGATCATAGCAGCACT